TTGAAGCCTACCAGCGGAAAATCCCCCCAAAAGAAGGGGGTGGAGGTTCACTTCTCCCACCCAACTCTCTGGGGAGGGGGGCAGCAAAGAGCCTTCGAGGTTGGCTAGTGGCATCCCTCCACTCCCCCTTGTCCCCTTAGGAGAGGCCATCTGGGGCTCTCACCCCAGTGGAAAGGCCAGTATACTCCATGAGCCCCTCCCAGGCCCTGCCCACCTGCCCCCCTGCCCCTGGGCACTTACATGGGTGTGGCCGGAGACCACACCTGGCTCTGCAGGGCCATCTCTGCCCAGAAGCCCACGTTCCGGTCTCCAATCTCCGAGATCAGGACCCACCACCCGCTTGCCCGCCTGAAGGTGCCCTCGATGGAGGCTGTGACTTGGCTGGCAGGAGGGGGGGGGGCTGCAGTCAGGCACCGGGAGAGCTGGTCCAGCTGGTTTGGGCTGGGAGGCGGGAGGTGCATGGGGCGAGGGGGGCTGGGGGCTGGCGGGCAGTTCTGGGGAGGTACTATCAGCTGTCCTGATAAATTATTTACCAGCCACTGGCCTCCTTGCTGCACTAGGCTGCCTCCCTGCAAATATGCTCTCACATGCATGGTGGGGCATGTGGACCAGAGTGGGGAGTCACGGACCCTCTCAGAGAATGGCGCCCCCACTTGGTATGCCAGAGACCTCAAGTCCAGCCTGCCCACCCAGGGTCCCCCACATGTGAGCATCCTTGCACACCACACATGATGGCTATTCTTACACACTACTTACTGCCCTCCCTTCCCAGACCCTGGCTCTGGGGTGGGGAGGGAGGGACTGATCCAGCTAGAGGATTCTGAGCACTGTGGGAATCAGGAGACCTGGGCTCTGGGTAACTATAGGCAACTCACCTCAAGTTTCTAGGACTCAGTTTCCCCTTTTGTGAAGAGGGAGAATTAGAATAAGTGGCCGGCAGGGTGCTGGACCCTTAGATGCTAAAACAGCTTGGGATGTGGTTGTGATGAGGAAGGTCCAGAGAACTTCCCACCCAAATCTTGAGGGTCTCTGCTTCCCCCTGCCCCAATGTCATTATTAAAGTGTCAGTAGTTCCTTTCTCAGCTGACTTCATGCTTCATTTAACCGCCCCTTGGGGAAATAACCTACTCTCCAGGCTGGTCTCCCATAGTCTCCAGTGCTTCCCCCATCACAGCCTTGGTCACACTGTGCAAATTCAAGACATGAACCTCAATGAGAAAGGTCCTTGCCCTGTACTCCTTGCTTTAGAGAGCACATCCATTGGACACCCTCCCATGAAGAAAAGGGAAGGTCCCCACCTACACCTGCACCTCCCTCTTCTAGATCCTACTGGGGGTACTTGGGACCTCAGAATTCCTTGCCCCAGTGTTTTGTTGTTTTTTTGTCCAGTGTTGCTGTGTGTTTTTTTAAAATAAGAAGGAAGCTGGTTTCTTTTTTAAATCCTCACCTGAGGATATTCTTTTATTGATTTTTAGAAAGAGAGGAAGGGAGAGGGAGAGAGAAACATCACTTGGTTGCCTCCCATATGTGCCTCTATTGGGAATAGAACCCATAACCTATGTATGTGCCTTGACTGGGAATCCAACATGCAACCTTTTGGTGTATGAGACGATGCCCAACCAACTGAGCCACCTGGCTAGGGCTGTCCCAGTGGTCTTGAGCTCACTGAGAAGGCCTTTGGTTTCCTGAAGGCAGACCATGCAGTCAGGGTGTGTCTCACCCTGCCACTTCACCTGACCCTGACCCCAGAACTGACCAAGGACAGCTATTGGGAGAATGGGTGAGGAAAGAGCTTGGACATGTAGGACAGGGTCCCCAGGTGCATGCACAAGGTTCCTTGCTATGCAGGACAGAGTTGGAGGTGGGAAGTAAAGGGGGCCAGACTGAGGATTGGAGTTTCCCCATACCCCACATTCTAGTACAAAAATCCTAGGGATTAAAATGTTGTCCATTAAACCCGGCCTTCTAGGTCATTCTGAGAGTATATTTGCCATGATATAAAGAGAGAACATATTTTTTAAATTGGTTTTAATTGTGGTAAAATACATATAAAATTTCTCATTAGTGGTATTTAGTACATTCACAATGTTGTGTAACTTTTACCACTATCTAGTTCCAGGACTTTTTCATCACCCCAAAATGAAATACTGTCCCCCTGAGTAGTCACTCCCATTCTCCCTCCTCCAGCCTTTGGCAACTACCAATCTGTTTTCTGTTTCTATGGATTTGTCTGTTCTGGAAATTTTATATCAATGGAATCATATAACATGTGGCCTTTTGTGTCTGGTTTGTTTCACTCAGCACAATGTTGTAGCATGAATAAGTGCTTTATTTCTTTTTATGGCTGAATAATATTCCACTGTATGGATGGACCACATTTTGTTTATCCATTCATCTGTTAGTGGACGTATGGGCTGTTCTCACCTTTTGGAGGCAGGAATATATTTCATTTAATTTCTTGTAATTTGATTTTGTAAATGTAATAACAATAATAATTACTATATAAATGGAGCCACTTTAAAATGGAGCCAGAGCTGCCTTGCATGTCTTTTTCCTTCAAACCTTTGGAATGTTAAAACAGGGCAAAACAAACTTTGGGCTGGGCCTAAAGCAACATTGTGCCCCAAAGAACTGTTTGCAAAGATAACAAGAAAGCAGGTATATGACTACTGAACTAATGACTATAGGACTGAAATTTTAAAACATAGTTTAGAATTAGCATCACTATGTTAGCTCGTCTGCACCAATAGAAATGCCTTCCTTTTATTGCTATAATTGTTCACCTTCCCTTTCTCATAAATATCCCTTGCCTTTGTCTCCTAATTGGAACATTGGTTGGGTTTCTGTCTGAATCACTGCTTCCCAACTAGCTATTCTGTTGGGTCTCAAATAAATGCCTGTTGCCTCTCACTCTGGCCTTTATTTTTAGGTTAACAATTTTATAACTGTTAACAATTTAGATGTGTAGTATATAGGCTTCCCTTTGTACTCTTGTCCTGGATTCCACATTGAGGCAAAACTGTTCTGTTTATAATTGTGCCTGTCTCTCAATTTCAAGCTCAACTGCGACGTGCGAGTCTGATTTATTTCTTTATTCCCAACATTCATGCAGGCCTAGTAAGTATCAGGCAATAATAACGCTTGAGCAACTGCTGTATGTCAGGCACTGTTCTAGGCATGGGGGAGTTGGGTATAGAGGTGAGCAAGACAAACCAAAAATGCTGTAATGTGGCTCACTTTCTAGTGGTGGGGGATAGATAATATATAAATAAACAAATAAAGGTGATTGCTGATAACTGCAGTATAGGGTAAGTTACAAAAAACAAAAGGGATGGTTATGGAGAAGGGCTGTATGTGATGTAGGCGAGATGATCAGGGACCACTTGTCTGAAGAAGCGACATTTGAGCCCAGACTTAAATAGTAGAAGCCAGCCATGTAATGAGCCATTCCAGGAAGAAGGAAAGGTAAGTGCAAAGGCCTTGAGGTGGGAATACAGTGGGTGGTTTGAGGGAAGCATGAAGGCTGGAACAGGGGAGTGACTGAGGGAGAAAACATTACAGGATGAGATCGGAAAAGTGGGCAGAGCCTTGGGCTGGGATAGGGAGTTTACATTTTTCTTCTAAGTTTGGTGGAGAGCTATTGGAGGAGGGTGAGGTGGCTGGGGTGAGGGTGGAGAGAAGTGAACAAATTCCAAATGTTTTGAAGGCAGAGTGAACAGATCCAATGGCAACCCAATCCAGAAGGGTTGAGGGAAAGAGAGAAACTGAGGCTGACACCTAGGTTTTGGGCATGAAAATCAGAATGGGTGAGTTGCCAAATAGTGAGAAGTAGAGTTGGAAGAAACCAAGAGTTCTGTTTTGATAGTGTTCAGTTTGACATATCTATTAGACTGGAGACTGGTGGCTATGAGTCCAAAACCCTCTAGCTCTGAGGAGTCAGAGCTAGTGATGTAAATTTGGGAGACATGTGCATAGAGATGGTGTTTAAAGCATGAGATTAGGATTTGTCAGGGTCCCTGTGCTGGCAGGAAAGAGATTGTGCTCAAACTGAGTAATGGATGAGAATTTATAGAGTAGGTTTACAAAGGAGTAGGGAGACAATCAAAGCATTGTGCACACCCTGGGTTAGTAACAGCCGGGAGCTCTTACCACCTTGGCCTGGGTGTGTGTGTGTGGGGGGGGGGGTGAGCTGTGCAGAGCTGCTACCTACAGTGGAGGGACACAGCCAATTGTGTCCAACTGAGGGTACATGGGATAAATACGCTGACCTCACTCTCCTCTCCCCCACTAGCCAACCCCAATGGAAGCCAGAGGGGAAGGAAGCCTGTTGATGCAGGTGAACAGAAGTCTGAAAAGGGGTGCTCTGGAGGTAGGAGGAAAACCAGGAGAGGGTGGTCCCTGGAGACCAAGCTAAAGGAGAGGAAGTCAGAGGGGAGCTAGTGGCTGAGTTTGACAAATGGAGGTCATCAGTGTCCTTGAATGGAGAAAGCTCAGTGGGATGGTGGGACCAAGAACAGGATTAGCATGGCTGGAGGAGGGTCAGAGGTGATAAAATGGAGAGGCCACTATAGAGACAGCTCTTTCCAGAAGTATAGCTTTAATCTTCATCACCTCCCAAGAAAACTGAGCCTTGAAGAAGGCTGGTACCTTGCTCAGGTTATGAGTGGGATGGAACCTAGGTGGGCCCAATTCCAATTAGGCCAGTGGGGTCAGAGGGAGGAAGGAGGTCATGGTCAGAGGGAGGAGAGCAACAGTTTGAGATTGTGACCCAGGAGAGAGCTGAATGAGAGGGTGGAAAGGGGAGTCACCAGGGAAGGCAGAGAGCTGGGGGAAGAAATGGTCAGAGTTGGATTATTGGGGGTTCCTGAGGCTGTGTAGCCCCACCAGTTTCTCTAGATAATTACAGCTTTCTTCCTGGTCACCCTAGAATAGTCAGGATAGGAGAGTAGATTTGGAAAGAGCCTGGGGGAAAGGGTAGACAATGTCCCTGGATCTGGCCCCAGCTTCAAGGAGCTGTTACTCCCTTCTGCAAGCCTGGATCTCTCTCTGGGCCTTCCCAGCTGCCTGAGCCCAAGGTGACTGCCTTTCAAACACAATCACTCTGCTGAATCCTAGATGCACTGTGTCTGTCCCTCTCTCTTCCTTCAATCTGGGAATGCACTTGGCGGAGGAGGCTTGGAAGACTTTTCTGGGAGAGGGTGAAGGGAAGAGGCCTCTGGGCTTGGCGCCAGCGGCCACTGCTGGGAGCCTCCCTAACCCAGGAACTTGTCGCCCATGCTCCTGGCGCCCCCTCCAGCCTGTGCTGTGCGCCGCAGGGGTGGAAAGTGGATGGACAGCCCAGAGACTAGGGCCGTTGTTGCTTTCTGGCACCAGCTGGGCTGGGCTGGCAAGGCCCCAGAATGATGTCTTGGGGGATACCCTACCAGAGGGCTACTGGCTCAAAGGCTCAGAGCGGCTCCTGGCTGGGGCCACGCCTCCAGGCAATACCAGGAACTTGGGGATGGAAAGGTGCCAGGGTGGCGCCCAGTATGTGAAACAGCACCCAAACTGCCGCCCCCTCCGGGTAGTGGACCGAGCCTAGGGAAGTCAGGTGCCCTGAGCTGACCTGAAACGCGCCTATGGACAAAATCCGGTGCCCAGCCAAGGCGCTCTGGCCCCGAGGGCGGGGCCAGGGCGGGGCCCCAGTCCTCCCGGCAGGTGCAGGGGGCGGTGCCCGGCCCTGCCCCGGGGGCTGTTCTTGGAGGCCAGAGGCGGGTCAGAGAAACGGCCGGTGCGGGCGACGCCCTGGAACCCGCGGGAGGCGACTGCAGCCACAGGTGCCGGGCAGGGCATTGTGTCCCAGCTGTGGGCATCAAAACTCTGGCACTGGAAACTCAGGCTTCGGAGCTGCTTTCAGTTCTCGACACCAAGGCCCCCAGGCCGGAGATTGGAGCCCTGGAGTCGCCCGAAAAGCGGGGCCCAGAGCCCCCGGGGGTCAGACAGCGAAGTCCCTCGGCCTATCTCAGGGCAGGTCACCGAGGTCCCCAGGCCAGGCTGCGAGGCCCCCGTGCCCTCTGCAGAGCAGGACGCGGAGACCAAGATAGCTAAGTGCTCGAGCACTCAGCGGGTCAGGACGCAGAGCTCCCCGGGCCGTGCGCACTTGGGAGCTTTGAGACTCCTGGGCCAGGCTGCGACGACTCCGAGCCATCCGAAGCGTGAAGTGCCGGGATCCCGGGGCAGTGTTCCCCTCAGGGTCCGGAGACCTCCTCCTCCGGGTCAGACTCGGAAGCCCCCCAGCAGCGTTTTCTACCGCGCCCTAACAGCCCCCAGAATATCCGCTCATGGAGACGCCCATTGAGCGTGAAATCCGCCGCAGCTGCGAACGCGAGGAGAGCCTGCGCCGGAGCCGAGGTCTCAGCCCAGGCCGCGCGGGCCGCGAACTTGTGGAGTTGCGCTTGCGGCCGGTGCTCAGCCTGCCAGGCCCGGGCCCCGCGCTCCCGCGTGCCTTGGAGCGCGAGCGGGCTGGCGCGCAGATGCAGCGAGACATCGAGCGGGAGGCTCACCGGC